AAACAAACATTTCCGTTATGGAAAACCTGGCATGAACGTCACGTTTAGTGAGTGTGTGATTCCAGACAACGAAGTACTAGGCCACTTGGTCCTACCTCTGTCCTAGACCTTCAGCTTTTTCCTGGCTCGGTTCGGGCTGGCCGGTTTGTGTCAAGTCTTGTCTTTGTTTCGGACGTTTTGTAAGGATAGATCCTTAGAAGTACAGTCGCCAGGTTAAACATAGGAAGCTTTCTAAGGCCCCCGACTACTGGAAAGGGTGCACGAGCCCGCTCTGACTGGGAGCGCAGGACAGAGTCCTCAGGGCATACCAGCACTGGAGTATTTTCAGTTGTAAAAATGGATGGAATTTTCAGCCGCTGTTCCGCGCATCCAGTCCCGGGTTTCCTGTTACTCCCCTGAGTAGCCAGAGAACGAGGGTGGTGACAGTTGTCTGGTGCAGTTTGGCGTAGGACAGATTGTGTGTGTCACCGCGTGGGGTTCTCAAATGTCAGGGCGTCGTGCGCCAGCTGTGGGCGGGGAGGACTGGTAAGAAATGCCAACGTGTGGGTTCTCGTCGGAGATTTGGAGTCGGTGGATCGAGGCAGGGCATGAGAACTCTGTTCATTTTTCTCCAGCTGATTCTAATGCACATGGTTCTTGGGTCGTACTGTTACTCCAAGTGCTGATGGGTCGCTGTGTTTCAGTACGGTTTATATTCCAGTATAGACCAGTTTCCCCTGTTTTCTCAAAATGCTCACCTAGGTTGCCTTGGTCCGGTAACTTTTTTTGACGTTTTGTTTTGTTTTCAAATCAAAATACAACTTTTGTATTATTACGGACCAGTGTGTGGTACCTTCTAGACAATTAGAAAATACAGAGGCAAAACTATTCTTCCTTCCTATAGGCGACTAGTTTTAACATCTTGATGCACGTCCTTCTAGATCTGTCTGCCTAAATGTGCATTTTTCTTACAGCAAGTGTGATATTTTGGTCATACGTGTTTTATTACCCGCTTTGATCAGTACAGCCTCTACTACGCGTGGCAATAGATTTTCACCTCAGCTGAGTCGTCTGCACTCCAGCTTCACGGCTTTTCCTAGATGGAAAAGCCTTGTCCGTCTTGTCCACAGGGACCGAGTCTGGAACTGCTGGTTGTGCGCGGTGCTTCAGTCCCTGACCCCCCTGTCTGTGCGGCAGGGGCTCCGCTGTGGGAAACACGGCCCTCCCGGCCGTGCCGTAGTGTGTGCTTCGTGAGCGCCTGCCCCGGCGCCCTGCCCTCGCCCGGCCTGGCGCGCACTGTCCCAGGGCAGCGATGGTGAGCCTTGACCCGGGTCCCCCCTGCCGCACTCCCCCAGGTCATCGACATGACCGGCCGGGAGCAGAAGGTCTACTACAGCTACAGCCAGATCAGCCACAAGCACAGCGTCCCCGACGACGGGCTGCCGCCACAGTCCCAGCCGCCGCCACCGCCCGGCAAAGAGGCCAAGGCGCCGGGCTTCGCGCTGCCCGAGCTGGAGCACAACCTGCAGCTGCTCATCGACCTCACGGAGCAGGAGATCATCCAGAGTGACCGGCAGCTGCAGTACGAGCGCGACATGGTGGTCAACCTGTCGCACGAGCTGGAGAAGATGTCGGAGGTCCTGGAGCACGAGGAGCGGGTCATCGCCAACCTCAGCAAGGTCCTGGAGATGGTGGAGGAGTGCGAGCGGCGCATGCAGCCTGCCTGCGGCGACCCCCTCACCCTGGACGAGTGCGCCCGCGTCTTCGAGACCCTGCAGGACAAGTACTACGAGGAGTACCGGATGTCCGACCGTGTGGACCTGGCTGTGGCCATCGTCTACCCGCTCGTGAAGGAGTACTTTAAGGAGTGGGACCCGCTCAAGGTGAGTGGCTGGCAGGATGGGCCCGGCCTGGAAGGGCCGCACGGGGCAGGGAGCTCGGCTGACGGCTGCATCTCTCCCCAGGACTGCGCGTACGGCACGGAGGTCATCTCCAGGTGGAAGAGCCTCCTTGAGAACGACCAGCTCTTATCTCACGGTGGGCAGGACCTCTCGGCGGACGCCTTTCACAGGTACTGGCCACAGGTGGGGGGACGATCCCACTGGGGAAGGCGGGCACTGGCCTCTTCCGCCTCCTCCACGCGTGCCGGCCCCGTTCCAGGAGTCCGCTCGCTCACACCGTGCTTGTCACCTGTCTGTCAGGGCCGTGCTGTGCCAGGTGGCGGCCAGCCTCAGCGTGTGGGGAATGGGAGAGGTAGGTGGGGGTGAGGAAGCAGACAAAGCCGGGACACATGCCTCCTTGGGGGCCAGGAGTAGTTGGAGGTGGAGGTTTCTGAGAGGAGGGACATTGAAGCTGTGACCCGAGAGGTGAGGCGTCAGAGCTCCAGGTGGGAAGGCCTGCAGTCCCTGGAGAGGGGACCCTTGTGTCCCCACGGCATCACTGCCGAGCAGGTGAGCTCTGCCGGGGAGACAGGCCTGGGGGGGTGAGCAGGCGGCTGGCAGGGCAAGGGGGAGGCAGGCGCAGGTCCGGGCAGTCTGGGGGCTGGCCTGGTGGTTTGCTGTGCCTGGATGTCCGTGCCGCTTTCTTTCTTATTCTGGAGGGCTGCTGGCGGTGGACTTTGTCTGCTTTGAAACCCCATCGGTGCCACCATCCTGCCCTCGCCTTTCCCCCGCAGGCTGATATGGGAAGTCTGGATGCCATTTGTTCGAAATATCGTCACTCAATGGCAGCCGAGGAACTGTGACCCGATGGTGGACTTCTTGGACAGCTGGGTGCAAATTATTCCCGTGTGGATCTTAGATAACATACTGGATCAGCTCATCTTCCCCAAGCTGCAGAAGGAGGTAGGGCCCAGAGCTGCGGGGGGCAGCCATCGGCAGGGACCGGGGAGGGGCACCTCTCCAGTCCCTCAGTGCTGTCGGAGGGCCTGGGATTGACAGAATCTGCTGACACAGCTGCTGTCCCGTGGGCAACTCGGGCCCTTTTGTCGGCACTTCTCCCCCAGAGTCCCCTAGCAGGGAATTCATCTCTTTGGTTTCTCTAATTAGAATTTGTGCCATTTGTGAGACCTCTCGCAGTTGTGTGGGTGTTAGTTTGGTCATGCAGAGGGGCCTGTGGGCCTTGGCCAGGGGAGCACTCGGCCTCCGTGCCACTGACCGCACAGCGCATCGTGAACTGCTCCCGCAGGTGGAAAACTGGAACCCGCTGACGGACACCGTGCCCATCCACTCGTGGGTCCACCCGTGGCTGCCCCTCATGCAGGCGCGCCTGGAGCCGCTCTACTCCCCCATCCGCAGCAAGCTGTCCAGCGCCCTGCAGAAGTGGCACCCCAGCGACTCCTCGGCCAAGCTCATCCTCCAGCCCTGGAAAGACGTCTTCACCCCCGGCTCCTGGGAGGCATTCATGGTCAAGAACATAGTGCCCAAGCTGGGTGAGCACACGGGGAAGGTGCGTTAGGGCCAGCGGCCGTGGCACCGTGTCTGTGGCCAGCGGTGACGCGATCCGTGCCCTGTAAGACCCGCTCTTGGAGCTCCGTAGAAAGCCCGGCACATGGTGCTGCTCACCACGAGTGCCGCTTCGTGCACAGAGCTGGGATATAAACGTGCCCAGGGTTCTTCTGGCATCAGGGACATCAGAGTCCCCGTGCCTCCTGGTTCCTAACTGGTCTCGTTTGGGCTTCTGGTGACATGAGAAATGCTGGCGTTCTGCCTTTTTTTTTTGTGGCGTTTGATTTTAAATATACAGTATTTCTGGGTTATAGAGGGAAATGGTTTTTAAGAGTTGCCCTATCAAGAGCTTGGGATTGATGTATAGAAATGGATTAACGACCAGCGTTGTCCGCTGGAGAGTTTGCCCTTTGTGCTTCTGTGGCTTTGCCTTAAAGACCGGGCTTCTTTTGCAGGGATGTGTCTTGGGGAATTAGTCATTAACCCTCACCAGCAGCACATGGATGCTTTTTACTGGGTCATCGACTGGGAAGGAATGATCTCCGTCTCCAGCCTGGTGGGGCTTCTCGAAAAGCACTTCTTCCCCAAGTGGCTTCAGGTACACCCTGCTTTGCTGTGTCTTCTGAGGGATGGGCTGGAGGCAGAGAGGCTTCACTCAGTTTTCTGTTGAGGTCTGACTAGGAGCTTGATCCTTGGACAACTGTCAGATAACAGAGCTGTGATATGTAACATAAATAAGCAGTAATAGTGACCACCATTTATTGGACGCTTGCCATGTGCCAGATGCAAAGCACTTGATGTGCGTCACCTCCACTCCTCACACAGAAACTCGGGGGTAGGGACTGGCGTCTTGTTTAGACGGGCGGATGCAGTTCAGGGAGTTTACGTGCAAAGCACTTAGCTGCCAAGCTGACTCCAAATTCCACACTCTAAATGCCAGACTGTTCAGCCCCTAGAAACCCCTGCAAGTGTCACCAGCTTGCAGGACCACAATCAGAACAAAAGTAAAAGGTCCCTTTGAAGTTCTGCCTTATGGATGCGTGGTTCCTGTTGTCTTTTTGGCAGGTGCTGTGCTCTTGGCTTAGTAACAGCCCAAATTATGAGGAGATCACCAAGTGGTACCTGGGTTGGAAGTCCATGTTCTCAGATCAAGTGCTGGCACACCCATCCGTCAAGGACAAATTCAACGAAGCGCTCGATATCATGAACAGGGCAGTGTCCTCCAACGTCGGTGAGTGGAGAGTCTGCTTGGGACATCCTGGCCCTGAGCGCCATGCTTCTGATCACGTAAATGACACGGAATCAAGTCCCTGTGGGCGGCCCGCTCCAACGCGGACACTTGCCCAGCAGACCTGGTTACACAGCCAGCACACGCTGCCCAGCTCTCCCGGCACTGGGAGGGGCATCTGCCCCTGACCCGAGTCTGACTGTGGCTGGATTCACTGTAGGGGGCCTACCTCTGGGGCCACCTTCGTGATCACTGCCGTGTGGCTTTTCACGTTCGCCGGCAAGCCTCCGTGAACAGCTGTGTGTGCTGTTCAGGCGTGATGGCCCCCGACCAGGAGCCGGAGCACAGCCTGACACCTACAGTTGCTAAGCCCGCCTGGCCCATTTTGTTTCCTTGTGAAACAGTCCTAATGCGCACTTCCAGGGATCGAGTGAGCTACAGTGTGCGTGTCGCACTTTGCGGGCGGGGTCTCTGCTGTCTCCGCAGCAGGCAGGTGCTTGTCCACTTAATATCCGTCCCCAGCTCCCGACCAAGTCAGTCTGTCCTGTATCAGTGTGCTCGAGTCTCCATGTGAAGGCCACCGGAGTACCCAGGCCAGCGCTGCCTCCCAGATAAGCTCCTCAGGGCCGAGAGCTTGTTCAAGGTTACCCAGCCAGAGTGACAGCTAGGGTTGTAGTTTCTATTTCCTGAGCCTTTAATCCTTTGACTGAGTCTGTTCCGTGAAAATCGAGTTCGTAGGTTATACGTTCTGTTTAATGAGGTGGGTGTACTTCTGTGCTCTCTACTTACCCAGGTCCTTCAGGGGGCCGTTCCCTTTTCCACCCTCTCTAGAAACTCTTCCTCAGCCACCCCGGGCCCAGGCCACCTCCCAGAGCTGTTCCCATCCACACCCCTCGGCACCGGGCATTTGTGGCCCCGTGCTGTCGACACTTCAGCAGCTGTTTCGGCTCCCCAGTTGCATTCTGAATCCTTCCGGGGCCGGGCCTGTATGGAGACGTTAAAAATAGAACTAGGCTAGGCCGTGTGCTGTCAAGGTTTCCGGCCCTGGGAGGATGAATCTCTTGTGGCATTTTATGTTCAGCATCTCTCTGGTTATTACACATCATTCCAGTTTTTTTGTGGCGGCGGACAGCTGCCTGAGCTTCCCGGAAGGTGCTTAGTGTCCATCTCAGTTCTCTGTGCCCCCAAGGCCCCACCGCCCTTCACGGAGTCACAGGCAGGTTTGGCCAAAGCAGTCTCCGTTTCCCTGCGGGTCACAACACCTGTCCTCACTCCCCCCCTCCCCTCCCCTGTCTCCCAGGTGCCTACATGCAGCCCGGGGCACGGGAGAACATCGCCTACCTCACCCACACGGAGCGGAGGAAGGACTTCCAGTACGAGGCCATGCAGGAGCGACGGGAGGCTGAGAACATGGCCCAGAGGGGCATTGGCGTGGCCGCCAGCTCCGTGCCCATGAACTTCAAGGACCTCATTGAGACCAAGGCCGAGGAGCACAACATCGTCTTCATGCCGGTCATCGGGAAGCGACACGAAGGGAAGCAGCTCTACACGTTTGGCCGCATCGTCATCTACATCGACCGCGGGGTGGTGTTCGTCCAGGGCGAGAAGACCTGGGTGCCCACCTCCCTGCAGAGCCTGATTGACATGGCCAAGTAGAGGGCAGCAGGCTGGACACGTGCACTGGAGACGGACGTGGTTATGAATAAACAGTGTTTGAAACCGGCCTTGAAAGAGTACTTACTCTCCATCCGGGAGTATTCCCTATTGGGTCAGGTTGCCAGCAAAGGACATAAGACACAACACTCAGGAGGTACATCTTTATGCCGAGCCCTTCCACAGCACGTCCTCGTCTAAGGGGGAGAACCGAATGGAATATTCCCGGTGCTCTGCAATCTGGCCCACTGCAAAGAAGGGGGCTGTCGGCACTCCCTCCGTGGAGCCTCCCCCGTCCTCTCCGGGGGCAGCTGCTTCTGCCTCGGCTGGCACTGTGTCATGGCGACTTCAGGTCAGCAACCGAAGGACTTCTTGTCTTGTTCCTGATGATTTCAAGGTCCTCACAGTCCCCATAGTCTGGTTCTTCCCGAAATGCCCACGTGTCCATGGGGAGCTGTTCTAACTTCTGTACAGGGAACCAGTGGACGGAGGTGTCGTTGAATACGTCCGCGTACTGTGGCGTCTCCGGCAGCCCAAGCTCCTCCAGTCCCTGCAAAACCTGAGCAGGAACATTCAGATGTAAAATGTACAAACCGGACGGTCACAGTAAACCCCACGCTCCTGTGTGTGATCTGTTAGTCACCCCATGTTACCTTAAAAAAAATAAAAGGACTAGGATATTTTAACTCAAGTGCTTTTGGTGATGAACTGGAAGGTCCAAGGGCAGTGAGTATGTAGGACTCGATACTGAGAACGAAGGGCAGGTCATCGCTTTCTGCGACACAGAGCGATGGAGAAAACTCAGCGGGCGCAGTACCTTCACCGCGCCCTCCGTGAGCCCCTCGTCAGCGTCCTCCCACGCACGTCCAGGCTGAGTTCTTCACAGGAAGGGAGAAGCGGTCTGGTCCCACACCCTTTCCCATCCCTGCCCCTTTGTTTAGATACCTTTGCGACGTAGGGATAATTTTTCTGCAGAATCCTTGCCAGCAACCTAGACATTAAAGAAAACAACGTCACGGCTAGGAGGAATGAGAGCGTATTACAGAAAAGCAAGGTGGCTTAAAGGCAACAAACGTTTTAAAAAGGAGGGGGACTGTGGAACAGGTGCAGTAATCAGAGAACGCGTGAGCCCCCCCCCCCATTTCATCAAGGGAGACGTGGTGGTGGACACCCGGGTGTGTGTAGCTGTGAGCAGCTGTGGGAGAGGTCGGTTTCCCCCACTTTCGGAAACTTGTCCGTCATAAGGGAAGGGAGGGAATCTTGGCAAAAGACTCCTTAACTCGTGCCGCAGCCTGACTCGGGGTTCACGCCCCCCTCTGAGCCCGTCCGGGTTCCTACGGGAAAGTGTCTCTGGGCACGAGAGTCATGGCAACGTCTCCCGCTTGCGGGTCCGTCAGGAACAGGCACGTCCCCGTTCCCCACTCACCTTTCCTCAAGGCCCCTGAAGCTGTTTCCGATGACGACCATCTTGGAAAGGGCGTCTACCGACCAGTTGCTCCACAGGAGGTTGTTGTACAGGGCCGTCCCGCAGTGGGGCATGTAAAAGACGGTGGGCTCGCCCCACACGCTGCGTCTTCCCTCCTGGGGGCGCCACACACACAGTGTAAACCCCTCCGCTCTGAGCACGAGGGGAGGGGGAGGGGAGGACCGAGCTGAGCGTTCTCACCACAAAGTAAACAAAAGCGTACGAGTGTGAGTGGACACGCGTGTTAACGAACCTCGCCGGAGTCGCTTCACAACAGACACGTGTATCCGATCACCCCGGACGCCTTCAACCCGTATTCCAGGTTGTGTCAGCCTCGCCGGAAAGAACAGTGAGCTGCGGGGAAGGCAGGTGAACCTATCCCCTGGAAACAGATGCCCCCCTCTCTGGAACGCTTCTGTTCTAACGTAGCACGACTGAAACTTATACAGCGACATGGGGCTACAAGTCTGGAAATCCCGATGTCCAGAAAGAATCTGTGTCGACTGAATAAACGTGTGTCCTGTGATCGCAGCTCTGGGTCCGCAGAGGGGCCTTTGGGTCCGTGACAGCAAGGGCAGGATGGAGGGCAACGGTTACTGTGCCTGTGGACTGTGCTTGGTGAACTCCAGGCCTCCTGTGTCCCTTTCTGCAGACCCCTGTCACAGTCGGTCCTTTCCAGCTGTCCCCTGGGGGATACAACTGTCCCCTCTTTGAGAACCGTGGCTCCATAGCCAGACCCGCGGCAGGGACACAGGCCCTCCCCCTGCTGCCTGGGCCTGCCTCCCCTGGGCCTCTGCGCTCCGTCCTCTTCTCCCTTGTGTTCATGAACGGGCGGTGGCTCCCCAACAGCTGCTCTGCACAGGCGGCCTGTGCCCCTGCCTCGGTCCCTCTAGCAGACACCCGGTGGACCTCCAGTCCCGGCTCGGCTCTGGCCCAGGACTCCCTCCAGCCGGCGCGGGGTGCCTTCCCCTCTCAGCTCCGGCGCGGGGTGGCTCCCCCTCACTGTTCTGCTCCCCGTTTACTGGTTACAGGCCACACGCCTTGATGGGACCACGGGCTCCCTGAAGACCGGGCCTGCACTTATCTTGGCCTCCCCCCAGATCTCGCCCAGCACGGGGCAGGCACTCAGAAAAGATGGGGTGAAGGGAGCGGCAGCGTTTCAGGGCCTCGCCAACACCGGCAAAGGATTCTCTTCTCTCAGCTGGGCCTAGCTTTTGAGTTTCGTAAAAAGCAAGGAGATGGCTGTTTTGGAACACAGGAATCAGAGGATTATTCTGTCTGCAATCCCCCAAACAAGGCAAAACTACTTGCAGAAGTCTGTGCCTGTACGCTGGCTTCTGCCCTCTGCCTAGGAAAGGACTGTCTGTCTTCCAGGGCTCAGAAATTTCACGTGCCAACTATTTAGGGCATGCAGGGCACAGCATCTACCCGCCACCCAGCCAGACGCTACGGGTGTGATGGCTACAGGTTCAGAGAGAGCTATTCTGTCCCCTTCCATACCCTCCCCTAGGACAGTAAATTCCAACCAGGAGGCCCTCATTGGAGGCACCGAGACTGTAGCCCTTCATTTTTTCATGCCACAGTAAATACCAATTTAGTAAATTACCACAGTCCCTGGACACACAATTCTCACAAGAATTTTGCAAACAGGGGCGCCTGGCTGGCTCAGTCAGTTAAGCCTCGACTGTTGCTTTTGGCTCAGGTATGATCCCGCAATTCGTGGGTTCGAGCCCTGCACTGGGCTCCATGCTGCTGGTGCAGAGCCTGCTTGGTTCTTGTTGGTTCTGTCTCTCTCTCCGCCCCTCCCCTTCTTACACTCCCTCAAAAGAAATAAAAGGAATTTTGCAAATATAACAGGTTTCGGTTCACGCCACTTGTACGATTTATTTTTCTGTGATGGGTACCACATAGGCCACACTGAGGGCACTGACGGGTCCCACGTTCCAGGCACTGGGAAGGCAAGTGTGTGGTGGGACACTTGACTGCTGTCTCAGAGCGAGGGTGTCTACGTGGCACAGCCCGGGGTCCCGTCAGTTACACAGCTCCCCCCTCCCCTTCCCCTCCCCCGCTCACCTCGTTCTCACTGAGGACAGTCACACCGAGGCTATTCAGAACTGCAATTTCTAGTTGGCTAAACACAGGGTCATACACCCAGCAGTGCCTTCTGGGAATCTGTGGGAGGGAAGAATGAGTCCCATCAACCCGAAGATCCGTGTGCAAGACCAGAGGAAGGGGCGATACAGAAGAATCCAAAACTTTACCTGGCACTTTTCCAGGAAGAGAAGCAAAAACGTTAGCTGGTTTCTAGCCATGATGCAGGTGGCAAAGTTCCCAAGGCCATAGCATACACACTTCAGACGGCAGGTTTCCGGCACCAGGGTCTCTCCTGGGAGGCAGCCGGGGGCCGCATCCGACTCATTTGGCGAGGAGTCGAGATGCAGGTTTCCAAAGACTTCCGAGAGAGTCCCCACTGGGGCCTTCAGTTGTTCCAGATGTTTCGTCAGACAGCCGCTGATGGTTTCTGAAAGAGCAGGCCCGGAACACAGTCAGAGGGCATGCTCTGGCCCCGTGAACCCAACCATCCACGCAAGGCCACAGCCCCAGGGAGAAAAGGAGGCCAGTAAAGGCTTCGGCTCCTCAGAAAGAAGGCTGCAGGCCTCGCTCCCAAACATGCCTGGGGCATGTGGCCACGCCCGCCCACGCAGACAGGCTGTCCTGGTCCCTGCATGCCCACGGCCTGCAACCCCACAGATGTCTCCAGCAAAAAATAGGTTTCATTTATGGGCACAGTTTCCACCTAAAGCTCTAATGGGAGCTCATTCTAATTTGGTGGGAGGTGCCTGGTAAGTGTGGGTTATGCTCTGAAGTACCTACTTTTTTGATGATAACAAAGAACCGAGGAGCAGAGCTCTCAACATCGTGTAAAAAGTTCAAAGAATAAAAAAGGTAGACTGGGGCTTTTGAGTCTAACAAAAAATAATCTGTTTACATCTTCTTCTACAGCGGCAGGTTCTCTGGTCTCTCATTTCACTGGCACTGAACTTACTTGAACAAACCTGCACCCGAAAAACAAAAGGCCCTATGTTTCCACAGCAAGACGGCAGTTTTCACTTCTTAGTGAAGAGATCTGTGAATGAGACCCCCGGCTGGGAAAGGGCATGTGAGGAACTGATTGGTAAAAGCAGTTCTGGAAAAACTTGACAACAGATATCAACTTAGTCACCGCCTTTTCACTGCATAATTCCTCTTTCAGGAATACATCCGAAGAGAATCACCCTACATTTGGTAAAAGCTTTATGCGTAAAGGTGCTCCCTGCACCGTTATGTAGAATGACTGAAAACTGAAGGAAAAAATAACTAAATGTCCCTCCATACAGACTGTGACTGCTGGTATGTTTGCTGCACATGTTAATATTCAGATGGCCACAGATTCTGTCGAGGAGGAGGTTACAACCGTGTGGGGAAAAACAAGCCTCCACTGCAAAGTCGGGGAAAAGAGCTCGCTAAGTATACATTTCAACAATGACAGTGACAGCTGGACGTATGGTCTCCCATGCACAGGCAAACACTGTTCCAAGTACTTAACTGAAGAGCCTCATTTAATCCTCAAAATTACACCACAGGGTGTGTACTTTGTTACCTCTCTTTCAAAGAAAAACTGAGGCTCAGAGTTAAGTGCCAAGGCACACGGTTCTAAGTGGGAAGTCAGAAATGAGAACCCAGCATGGACACCGCTCTGTGAAGAAAATGTCATCCAATGAGGACTGTGTTCCTTCCTTTGCCCACATTCAGGCTCTCCTCCCACACCTACCACCCCCAGCCTTCGCCAGGCGGTACCCACCTAGGGCCAGACTCCAGAAATCAGAGAGAAGCAGGTCCTCCCTGTTAAGAAAAAAAAGGCATGGTCATCTCCCAATCTTCTCCAGGCCGCCCCCACCAGTGGCCTCCTCCTGACCATGAGCTGGATGCGGGGATTCACAGTGTGCATGTCCAGAGCCAGACCAGCACTGCCGGCACTCCGAGAGGGCAGAAGGGTGGCTGGAGGACGACCCAATTCCCAGGGACTGGTCTGGGTCGGTCCACACCACCGCCTGGCACAGATGCAGAGCTCCATAAATAGTTGCTAGCTGCCCAGGTTTAAGCTCTCTGAGTTTCAGTTTCCTCACCCCTATGATGGGGAAAAGAATCATACCTATCAAGCAGGATTATGAAAGGGATCAAATGAG